TACTATAAATATAACGGGTTTTCTTAATTCCTGGGAACAATGTCTGTTTGTATGGGAATATATGGCGACGGGATAGAGTTTAATAGCACACTGACTGAAGTTTCGATTAGTCGCTGGCCATAAAGCTTACTAACTCCTGACTATAGTACCATATTCAGGGCAGGACCGGCCTTGCCAAGCATTGTAATGATTTCGAGGTATACTTAATACCTTTGCCTTCGCATCGGTCACGTATCTTACGTCCGACGAACTTCATATATGAAGGGATATGCATAACTGCATATCCCTCGATTTGGATGTAGTACACAGATAGCATAAAACAATCCGAACAGCCATTGCCAACCTTTATTAGCGGGTTAGTGGGTTGCCCTTTTTAAGATATGAATCTAAAATACTTTTCCTTTACTTTTATTCAATTTTTACTAAATTCAAAATTTTTGATTTCGGAATTTATTTTAAGAATGCAGCCCTTTCGAGTATAGTAACCTAATGTAAAAGCGTAGCATAATGTGAAAGGTGCTCTTGTTCCTTTAATGTAATTCTTACAAGATTTGATTTAGTTAAGAACCTCTAAAGCTTTATCTTTTTTAAACGTGTCATCATTTATAATCCATATCAAGCACAGTGAAATCGAGAGAGCAATGTATCAAAATTTGCAACCAGAGCGTTTGCGAATATTCAGTTAGAATTCAAATTCCGAGGGTATAACTGATTATATTAGGATTATGAAGATGTGCGTGAATACCTTAACACCATACATCAAAAGCCTTACCATTTTAATATTTCTTTGAGGACAACACTGAGCGGCAAAGACGAAAAGCAGAGAATCACTTATGCCTATACGGATTAGTTTGTCTGTCCTTGCCCTAGATAGAAGAAATGGTTTCGCTCTTGTGTCCTAATTGTTTTCGACGAAAAAAAAAAAAGACTGATTAACGCGACCAATTAAACATTCGATTGAAATCTCGGGCCAAGCATGAGTATTGTATCTAAATTAAGTAGTAGTAGTAGAGGCATACATTTGATGTGGGTTGTGAAAATGAAATGACCTAACTACTAAAAGATCAATTTCTGACCCTTGGATACAGAAACGAGAGATAAGCGAAAAATTAAATAACACATTCCCTATAAGATCACACTATGTATGTATGTAAATTAATCGTATTTGATGCAAAGGCAAGAGTATACAGGTAGATTTGATTTAACTTGCTTAACTATCTCGCTGTCTTCGAATTCCAATAGTTGCAATAACTTGAGGATGAAATTTTACATCCTATCCAATATGAATTCGCTAACAAATACGCCCACCATAGGTAACGCATGGATTGAAATTACCTCGAAAAGGAACTGAAATGATGAAATTTGCTTTTATTCAAAAGAAAACAACAATAGAAAACGAGGAGGAATACAAAACTTATATCTTCGTGTTTACTTACATGCATGCCATGTGTCCTATAAAGAAATATTTTTTTTTTTTTGTTAAAACAAAAGAAAGAGGCGAAGAAGAAGTAACACAAACTCAATGCATAATAACTCAAGAGCAATTTATGACGACATGAGACGCCTAATGATGATCATGATCTTCTTCATATTAAACCAATGCGTTTACTATCGAACAATGACTTTTATCATCATTCGCTTTTGTTTTGTCGTCTACGAATAGAGGGCAGAAACGCATACACATAACTCATTTTTAACAGACAATAATTTCACATATTATTACTTTCCTAAGATGGTTATTTAATTTATATACAACACTTTTTTTTCACTAAAGGCGTCCCTCAACGGACTTAAGCGTGCATGCGATGCTTTCTCTTTGTACGAAATCGAAAAGAAAAAAAAACACAAATTATTAATGAAGACTATTAGCTTCCGGGCGCGTAATAGTGCGTAATCGATAAATTCTAATCAGTGGCATCACGGTTAGCCGAAAGTTGCTTACACTTTGTCGTCGAGAATTTTATTAGTATGGGAAGCTTTATAAAGTATTTTATAAATGCTCTTTCTTCTTAGGCCTTTCAATCGTTCGATTATTAAAATCGAATCCGAACTTTGACAAGTGAAATTATGCAAAGTATCTGCGGAAATTATAATCACATGAAATGAGCGCCACGGCGGGGAAAATCTATCATTTCATTTATTTGTATATAATCGCTTCTTACTTCTACATCCATAGGGGGAATTGTACATAAGTTATCGAATGGTTGTTTGAAAGGGATTGACAAACGACCCCGTGGATCCCGCAAAATAATAGGTGTACCGAATTTAAGTTGTTGTGTGTGCCGTGTTCAAATTGGCGGCTTTATAAAATCTACCTGTCACATGTCCGTTTGTCCGCAATTTCAAACATTGATGTATGCACGATATAAGCCAAGTTTCAGTTCTGTACGAGCTGTCGCTCACTATATATCAAAGTGTAAAGAGGTGGGTGACATCCATGTCACTGCATTTTATTCCACTTTAAAGTCGAGAAAAATGGAGCGGAAGCCATAGAAATAGCTGGGGATAAAAACACAGTATGCTAAGAAACAGCTAGGAAGTGATTTAAGAGATTTCAACTCAAAACAGTTTCGTCTTGAAAACGATTAATGCTCGTCCGTCTTCAGCAAAAACAATTCAGGAGATTATCTTCAACTTGGACTGGCGACTTTTCTCATTTGGGGCATATTCGCCAGATCTGCCTCCCTCTCCCGTTCTGATTGGTACTGGTGCGGATCGACACACTTATATTTAGCAGATCAGCAGCTCAGGAAAGTGAAAAGAAAGTGTGCAAAAATGGATCAATGACTATTTCACCTCGAAACCACAAAATTTCTGCCGCGGACCAGAGTCCGCAGGTTACTCGATAAAAGGCAAAAGGCCATAAATAGTGATTATTAAGATTTGTAACGGAATTTGTTTGTTCACCTGATAAAAGTGAAATTTATGTGTCTGTCTTCTAACTTTAACAGTCCATCTCTCTGCTGCCCCTTTGTTGCAGTTATGGTTACGAGTTTCACAACTGGCAATAGAAATTTATACTCAAGTAAATTCTAATCATTTCGGCCAGGATAAGGGCAAAAATTAGCTTAATCCGTCTGCGAAGTAAGCAAGAGTAGCCAAAGCTTGTAGAGCTTATATAAGCGCTAGAACCAAGCTGAGAGGTGAGTCTTAAAACTCTCCTGCATAAAATTCAAATATTCGGTTAACTAATTAACAAATCAAACCAAGTAGCAATGAATTGAAAAACATATATACAAGTTGAGTAAGCAAATTGAAAATGGCTTTCACTTTGTGTACATATATATGTATATATGTATTAATGAGCCAGTGTGGGATGTATTGAAAGATACAATCTAAGAACGTAGAATAGAATCTATTTTATTATTCTTATACAGAATTCTAAAGTTAGAATTACAACAATAAAGTCAGGTAATGTTCAGTTCGTCTCTCAGCCCATTGCAAGTTTTGTTGCTACCCTGTTGTGACTTGAATAGGAAATCATCTCAAGATAGAGGAATACATTTCATGCTTCTTGGCGGAGAGTCTGTAAAGTCATTCGATTAATTTGACGACGCGAGCGCGTAGCATGCACCCAAGCCATTGTTCATGGTTACAAGTCAAACGTTTCTAATCGTTAGCTTTACAATGATCATGATTTGAAGATGGGCGGAAAAATAACAAATAACGCATCCAGTGATAGCAATATTTACAAATTTCACACTTAAATTTATATCATATACCTAAACACGTACATATATGTATGTGTAACTAAAGCAAGTGTTTTTTTTTTCTTTTTTTTTTCCTACTGCGGTATTATGTTGTAAACATATACATAATTCGGATAATTGTATAAAAGTGCAATCAAAACCACTGAAAACTTAAACTTTCATTTTCATTTGAAGTAAATGAAAACAAAAAAAAAAAAAAACAACAAGATATCACACAAAATAAATATAAACAACGAAATCGTGAAGAATATGTGGCATGAAACTAAGTTTTTGTTTATATACATATATATTTAACAAACAAAAAAAAAAAACACACACACACATACATACACATAAATATACAAATATACGCCAGCTCGTTACATGCAGATGATGTGCAAAATGTTTATAATGAACGAAAAGTACATTCACTTGGGAAATTAATTTTTTTTTTTTTTTTTTTTTTTTTTTCAAAAATACATAATATATTGGTGTTGGGCACCTTTGCTGCGAAATATAAAAACACTACACACTGCGCACTATCATGCTACTACTACTACTACTACTACTACTACTATGCTACTATATATTATTGTTTTGTTAAACGCTAAACGCTAAACGAAACAAAAGAGAAGAAAACTAAAAGCAAAATCGGAAAAAAAAAAAACACGGACCCATTTGCTATAGAAATGGTGGTAAATTAAAATCAATTTGCCTGGTGTGGCAGCAGCAATTGTTGTTGTTACATATTTCAAGCAATCACCAGCAAAACGGTTACAGCATTACATCTCGAACAACAATAATAATAATAACAATAATAATAAATAAATAAATAAATTGACAATTGTTTTGTTTGAAACACATAAACAACAATTACAACAACAGCAGTTAGCGGCAGCATCAACATCAACATCAGCAGCAGCAGCAGCAGCAGCAGTAAAAACTGTTTGAAGTCATAGAGAAAGGGTCTTTTGTTCATTTTGCTAATATTGAAATAGAAAGGGTTTCCTTTCGCATGTTGCATGTTGTATATTATATATTGTATGTTGTATGTTGTATGTTGTATGTTGTTTCCCTTATTCATTTTCGTCATCATACGTAAACTATTTTCTTTGCCTCTCATGCGGTTTCATTTTTCGATAACAATCTTAATTAAAATTGGAAGCAAAAAAAGTAATTGCTTTCTGTTTAACAATTTATTGATATTTTAACAATATTTCCTGTTTATTTTCTTTCTTTCTTTCTCTCTTCCCTTCCTTATTTTTTATTATTATTATTATTGTTATTATTTTCATTTCTTCCTTAAAAAAGATCTATTAGCTGCCTGGGAGGAATTATTAGGTTGGAGTGAAAATGCTGTTACCCCCTGTAAAATTCAAAAAGAGTTGAGCGATTTGAAAAATGCTCTAAATTGTATGTGCAACAAATCATCATCTGAGCTATTAGACACAGAACCAGACCTTCATATCGCCATCGAAAATTTGGAGGTAAGCAATATAATAAAAATATAATTATTATTTTAAAATACTTAAGAATTTATTATCAGAAATTTATTCATTAACAGTCAGTTCGGGTACTGTTTTCCCACTACTACTTTCTTTCTTAATCCTAACCCTGCCTAACAAGCGGTGACTTCAAGTAACTTTTGAACTTTATACATAATTCTTGCTCTTCTTTTCCGATTTCACATCTTCAAACAAGTGAAAGCAATATAGTTGGGCATGGCTTGTGTCGCTAAATGCCCTACATTAGCCTACAGTTATCCATATATCAACTTATCAAAAGTAAGGCTTTATGTGGGTAGTGGTAGTGAAAGAGTGATCCGTTCGAGATCATTTTCAATAGCATGCCCAGTTAAGTTGAACAGAAGAAAACAAGGCATACAGACAAACAGGTAGACAGAAAAGCAGACAAGCAAGCTTCGTTTTCTGAATCAATCGCAATAACAAAGATGGATCTATTTCATGTCCTTGTGGGTATTGTATACATCCGATTGTAGAGTATGAAAATTGTATTAGGCTTTGGCTGAATTTTTTATACCCACTAGGCTTTATCTTAAAAGGATTAGAAAAGAAGACAATCTAGTGAAAGAGGATCTAGTGAACTTGTCCCATTTTCACATGAATATTGAAAGAATATACGTGGACACTTGTATCGTTTTATATATAAGATTTACAATTTTTGTGTAGGGTATAAAACACTGAGCGATATCAAGACAAAGGCCCACCAATATCAGATCACATCATCATAGTGACTAAGTGAATTTAGGTCACATGCTGGTCTATTATTTTTACTTGAATGACGGATTTTATGATCTCATGACTAGTGTAACAAGCTGCAAAAATTTTCTAGGGATCGGTCGCCTCGACAATCGGCATACACCAATCGTTTTGAAATTGTTTGCTATCAAAGATCACAATTTGCTTTGGATCACTCTGCACTTAAAAGACTAAATATATTTTATATTATGTTCAGATTTCGAAATTCAAAAATTCACTCAAGCAGATGCCTAATAAAACACCCCTTGAGTAGATTGCTGCATAAGCGCCTGGAAGTTATTAGTAGTTCTTCAACAGAAAGGCATTGAAAATTATTAATTTAAAAAGTCTTTCTAAATCTAAAGTTTAATTGGGATTTTTCGCAATCAAACTTGTTTAACTTTACTCATTTCATTTATATAAATCCTTTATATTATAACGCATTCATCTCTATATAAAACTTCACTTTGTTTTTGTTTTTTTGTATGTTCATATTCTTGTTGCATTCGGTTTTGGCTTGGAATTGACAGAAAGAAGAAGGCCAATTGCTAGTGTACCGTGGCAAAATGTTAAAACTAAATGCCTCTGCACACAGTTGGCTGACAAAGCAAGAGAAACGTTTAAGTAATGCATTGGAAGAGCAGCAGCTGAAGGAAGCCGCTGCCAAAGTCAATAACAATGAATTAATCGAAGAGAAAGAGGAAATTGAGTCCGAACAACAACTGACGTTACAACAAGAAGTACAACAACAACAACAAAAACAACAAAACAACGACCACAACACTACTCTTACGATGATGGTAACTGATAGCAATGGCAATCAAGTGGAATCGTTTACGGCAGCCACTGCCACCACAATGTCCGCAAATACGATGGCAGCAGCAACGGCAGCACCAGCATCATCAATGACAACAACAAAAACGACAAATACAAATGATAAGTCGTCGAATTTAAATATGTTGATTAATTCTGAAAAAGAACTCCATAAACATTTGAAGGATGAAGTCGCTGAGATGTATGAGGCCTGGGATCACGCACATGCTCGGTTCGAATTATAAATCTTTTGCTTTGCCTTTCACTTATCATTTTTTATGCGTATTAGCAAATTTTAACAATTCAAAATTTATTTCTTTTTATTCTTTTTTCTTTTTTTCAATTTTTAGTATCAGTAAACAATTGGAAGTATTGAAATCGTCATCGACTGCTTTAAGTCAATTGGAATCGGGTCTGTCTGAATTCAAAAAGGCCTTAGTGCAAGATCGTAGCACATTGCAGGGCTTGGAGGGAGCTCTAAAGAAAGGTCAGCCCACTCCTGATGATTTGGAAAATGTGAAATTGGTAGCAAAACTATTATCGGAGAAAGTTAACGTAAGCCAGGAGCAAGTAAGTTCTTAAAAATATTGATGCGTTTTCTCAAGTATTAAATAAAGCGAAATTTTAGCTGTCTGCTGTTCAGGGTTATTTGGATTCTAATCAGATTTTGCATTTCACACGTTTTACCGCTTCGAATGGTTCGCTATCTGATTCGGGTATTTCCGATGGCGGTACAACCTCAGATGGCGGTCTATCTGAACACGAACGCCATTTGGGTTTTTTGAGACGTTTGGCCAAGCAAGTGGAATCTTTGGCGCCGGGCAGCGAGGCCATGAAATCGATTGCAGCCCGCGTGGAAGCGGCCGAAGCTGAATTGAAAAATTTCCAGAACACATGTCGCGCCTTAATTGTGCGAACGGTGGTTTCCCAACAAAATAAGCAACAACAACATGAAAGTAATAATGGCATCAAGTTGAATGGTATCAAATTGACTGAGAAAGTAAGACAATCATCGCAGCATATTGATCAAGAAAAGCGAAGATCGAATGATTTGCATGGCTCTGATAATGGCAGACGAAGCAGACGCCGATTACGTTGCTTGCCAGGAAATAATTCACATATAAGACAAAATAACGGTTTACAAACAACGCCCGACGATGATGATCCTTCCGATGATCCAAGTTTAACTTACGAAATCGATTCTTCCGATGATGATCAAGCACCGAAACGAGGCTGGGCTTGGCGTATAGCTCGCGTAGCTGTGCCTATGCAATTGGCCTTATTTACCGTGTTCTGCGCTGCTTGCCTAATGCAACCGAATTGTTGTGACAACATTAACAATTTTTCAATGAGTTTTACACCGCAACTTCGTTACATACGCGGTCCCCCACCAATTTGAAATAATAACCGCAACGCGGAAAGATATTTGATGACACAGGGTCATATTATCGTTATTGTAAGGCTCTCCAGTTTTAAGCTAAATGATGTCCAAAAACCCTGCAGTTTATATCAAAGATTTGACATTTAAGAAGCAGACAAAAAGTTTTGCTAAAGCCTAAAACGGTTAATGAGAAGGGGAAACGGTTCCACAAAACATAAATTATATGCAAAATGTGCGTCGCTTTAAAAGCGGCTTAAATTAGCCTTAAATAGCATTAAATTGTTTATAAGCAACATAGTGAGTGTGGGTGGGTTAGTAGGTGTGGGTATTATGAGTGTTAAGAAAACCACAAAATTATGTACTTAGGTTTCTCTTTTTTTGCCCCACAATTTTGTTTAATGGGCAGATGATACGAGTCAAACGAAAGTATTACAGCAAACGTAAAATTAAACGCATTTGACTTTTCAAGCAAAGAAAAGAAAAAAAACGCAAAGGGTAAAGCAAAAGAAGAAACGCTTTTCTTGCAAAACAAATGATTAATAAGAATGTCTGTTAAACAAAGCGTTGACAACATCAATCATTTCGTTTTAAAGCATCGCTGCGTTAAAGATGATTTCATCCAAAAAAAAAAAAGAAGCAGAAAACAACAAGAAAAATGATTAACAGAACATCGTCACACGGCTGCGATGTTAAAAATACAAATAAGTGATGCAACATCAATGCTTTTTAAAGCTTTACAGAGCTTTCATGTCGCTCTAAGAACGAATGCCCAAAAAAAGTTTTAAAGTTTCTTATAGTTTTTATAAGTCAAAAAAAGAGAGCAAAAACAACACCGACCAATAATAAGTAAAAATTTTGAATATCTTCGGAATTGTTAAAAAAAAAAAACAAAAAATGTATTCCATCATCGTCTTTAAAGATCATTTTTTATATTAATTTTATTTTAGAAGCGCTCAAACTATTTAAACGTAAAAAAAAGAAAACACATAATTACTATTTTTAACCTAACTCTTCTAAACGGGATTAGCGAGTGCACTGTGAAAATGAAAATACCTTCGGAGAAGTTTTGAAATGTTATATATCGTAATATACAGAAGAAAGCTCGTATACGAAATTCATTAAAATGAAACATGAAACTTGAGAAACTTTCCGCAAATAATTCCTAAATAATTGAAAAATTAAACTTTGCTAAAACGCGTCATACCAATCAGTTTTTATCCAAGTAAGGCAGGAATGTTTTTAGTTTTCACAAAAAAAAAAAAAAAAAAAAATGCTTTTCTGAAAACAATAAATGCAAAAGTTTCAGAAGCGGAAAACACTGCCTGGAATGATTTACTAAAAGAAAGATGAGTTTCCAAGTTTCACAGGAAATGTTAAGGAAAACGAAATCTCCCGAAGTTTTCGTAAGCAACGTAAGCACTTCATTATTGGAAAAAATGAGAAAAATAGATTTAAAAGGAAAGCGCTAAAGCATTTCTGTGTAAAAAAAACCAAGAAAAGAAAACGCGCTCGAAAGCAAAGAAATCTTATTAAACAATCTGCAAGTAATCGGCATATGTATTACCACCACAGTTTCCGAATAAGTATGTTTTGCATTTATTTAAAAAAAGCGCTAAAACATTTTTCCCTCCTCCCCACAAAAAGCAACAAAAATTAGGAATATCTTCAATAGCAGCAAACTGAGGAAGAATGCGATAAAGTTCTCGTAAAGCTATTTAATGTAGAGGAAAATTAAAAAAATAAGAACCACTTGGACAGAAAAATTTACATACTTAATTTTCTCAAAGAGAAGATGTGTATTAACATAATTAAATTTAACGCACTTTTCTGTTGTAAAGTTTGCATAAATGCGATTAAAGACTTGGAAAAAATCATGTAAAAAAGAGAAATTCTTTTACACTGAAACTAAGCAAGTCTGCGTTAAACAAAAGAGGAGAACTGTCTTAAACACGTGAAGAATTTGAACAGTTTCGTAGTTTGCGAAAAGCAATAAAGATTTCATATCAATTCAAATCTTTATACATATAGCGAAAACAACAATTTTCATATAGAACCGTATACACATACGAGAGGCAGTTGTGAAAGGTCGGTCAAAAACTTCATGCGGCACTAATCGATCGGTCAAAGTTACCAAGGGGAGGCACCAAAGCGTCTGCAAACAGATTAATTGCTTTCATGCATCTTCCCGTTAATCACTGTTTATAAGTACAGGTTAATGAAAAAGCAGGTCGCAAAATTATTTTGCAAAATTATTTTGCAAAGCCAGATGCAATGCAAATTCAAATCGATTATTTCTTATCAATCAATGAGATCAACACTTCACTTGTTCCGTTCGATCGCGTACAACACAACACACGACAAATACAAGGTGTTCCCCTCCTTTTCAAGGTGATTTCAACTTATCACTTCCTTACGTTACTTAATCCCACGAAACGCAATTGTGCCCACTTTACTTAGGTTTCTCAAAAACGATCAGCTTAAGTAAACTATCCATAAACTTTCCTCAAAACTGACCCTTTTTCAAGGCGCTTAGTCAAACATTCTCAAAGAGGATTGGGAAACCATATGACTTGTCTATTCTTCTGATCCTATCAGCTATAAAGGATTTTTTTTTTTTTTTTTGAAAGCGATTCGCGACTTGAAATTCTTACAAAAAAATCACGGATCAGTAGAGAGTTTCTTTAAACTAAAATATTGATTGAAGCTCTTTGAAGCTACATTGTAACGAATTAGTGTAAATAAAAAATCATCTTCTCCCGTCTATGGACTAGCAATTATATTATTATTGACTAGGATTCTATCAGTACTTCGTTATAGTAAGCATGCCGTGAAATTATGTGGAATACTCTTAAGCAGAAATATTTTAGCTACAATAACCTAAAAATGCAAATGATTGAAAAGATCAAGAAGAAACTCCGTTATGCAGCGTCTTTAAATTAAATTAAAGCTTACTTACATACGTATTTCATGTCCGCTACAGGAGAAGTTCGATTCAAATCGATTAGAGAAGATAAATAGCTTTGCGGAATACTTGCAATTTTTAGTGCGATTACATGAAAGTGCTTTTATTTTTTTGTTTATTTGAAAACTCTTCTTGTCTAGTTTTGTTTTGTTTCATTTTATACTTAGAGGAAATCTTATTGGAAATGATCGAAAAACGGCCCGAGTGGAAAATCTCATTTAACGTTAAAAAGAAGAAATAATTTTAATAACCCTCTAAGTATAACATGTTTTCATTTAAAGTTTCGTTAACATTTTTAGAAACAAAAAATACGTAAGCGACTTATATGCTAACATTAAAATGAAGAAAAAAAGCTATTTGTTTTATAAATTTTGTGAAAATATAATTTTCTTCAAACACAATCATGCTTTAGTTATGTAAGGTTTTTGTATTTGTAGTTCATTTGTGGCTTCTCTTAACTTTTTATTTTATTAAATTAGGGAAAAAAAATCTTTTTCATTCTTGCAAAAAAAAAAAGAAAAATGTTCTTAAATATCGTTTTAGTTAATTAATAGTTTATTTATTCTCACCATCATTTTTTTTAATACATATTTTTATTCTCTATTGTATTTAACAAAAAAAAAAAAAATAATAAAAATATTCATATTCGTTTTTTTAGTGTTCTCTTCATTTGCAAACAATTGTGTAATTATATTATATTTACGTTTGATGTGTGATTTAAAAAAAAAAAAGGCAGAAAGAAATAAAAAATCAATAAAAACTCTTTTAGGAAAAAAATCTACTTACTTGAAATTTTATTAAAAGGAATTCAGTTTACCATATTACAGAATTGAACAATTTTGGACACAACGATATATATATATAGTTATTTTTGAAAAATTCATTACAAAACGGTTAATATCACATAGCCAGGTGGCTAAGGAGCACGCCTATCGAGTCGACCTTCTTCAGATTCAATCGCTAGTGCGATGTGCGGTGAGATCATAATTAGCTAATTAATTAATTGATGTGTGGTCATAAATATGATGGCTGTTCGATCGATAAAGGCTCTCTTTCTCTCTCTCTCTCTCTCTCTCTCTCTCTCTCTCTCTCTCTCTCT